AAAATAACTATTTTTAACTGTAATAATTTTAAACTTTGAATGTACGAGATTTCAATGATGATATCAAAAGCCTTCAGTCATTGGTCATAGAATAGATTATACTGCATCTAGATCTAGTTGCAATGAAATGAGTTACAATCTGCATTAAAAACAAACATATAGTTGTAAAATTTAAACAATAAAAGTCGTCTCACAAATAACAATTATTTTCATTGTGTAAAAATGATTATTATGATATTACCAAAAATATTCTATTGGCAAGATACAGTACTCTTGAATTGCCGGGAGCATACCCATGCAGCAATCCACAACTTGAAAGACCTCATTTTTAAAACTATATTTATACATGCATCCCAATGCAAATGAAGATATTTTTGTAAGGAAAAATAATATAGCTAGGTGGTAGCAATTTTTGGCCAATAGAATATTTTTGGTAATATCATAATAATCATTTTTACACAATGAAAATAATTGTTATTTGTGAGACGACTTTTATTGTTTAAATTTTACAACTATATGTTTGTTTTTAATGCAGATTGTAACTCATTTCATTGCAACTAGATCTAGATGCAGTATAATCTATTCTATGACCAATGACTGAAGGCTTTTGATATCATCATTGAAATCTCGTACATTCAAAGTTTAAAATTATTACAGTTAAAAATAGTTATTTTTACTTTATAAAGAGTTAAACATTGCAAAAAATAAAGATTGAATGGAATAGAAGAACAAGAGGACTGATCCGCGGGAAGTTACGGTGCATATTCTGAATTCTTGGGAGTTGATCCGCATTCTAGGCACACACCCGTGCACGTTCCGCGCGTTCACGTGCTTGGTTCAGCGTGCGGAACGATCCGCAGCAATCCGCACTGATCCGCATTCTAGTAACGCCCGTTTTCTACAATTCGGCCATCTTAAACCGTATAAAATTGATTTTCGCGGATTTTATTTTCGTGGGTTTCGAAAAAAACGCGAAATCCACGAAAATTTTGGGCCACGAAAATTTTCCGCTATACGGTAGACATCAGGCTTGAATTATTATTGATTTTGGGTAGTGGCCTGTATCAGAGATGACAAAGTAACCGGCGGGGCGGAGCTGATCACTGATCAGCTGAGTCCATCGTGCACGTGGGCGGCTGACTTAGTTCGTGTCCTGGACTCCTGGCAGACCGTCTTCATGTTGGAGAAGAAGCTGAGAGCTGCCCAAGAAGAGAAAGAGCAGTTGAAACTTCTGGCGGAGAGTAGAGCTGGAAGTAGATTAGCGGAAGAAAGGGAAGCTCTGAAAAAAAGGTCTGACGGCGTCGCAGAAGAAGAGCGATAGAAAGCGGATCGAGGACTGAGCTCCACTGAAACGGCAGTGTCTGAGCTACGAAGGAAACTGCTCGAGAAAGAGCTACAGTAGCTGCTGGCATTTGAGCTAGAGAAACAGAAGTGGGAGACCAGAGAAGCTAGATGGCTTAAAGAGAAGAGCGAGCTGGAGGCGAAGCTAGAAACCTCAGTGAGCAACTGGCATATCTCTGGCTCCTCTCCGAGACAGGGACCGAGGAAGCGGTAGAAGGATCTGTCTTCCCCATTCATGATGCTCTACAGTTACCAGTGCTGCCGCCCTACAGACAAGTATGTTTCATCAGAGGAGACAAGGTTCGAAAGAGTCAGTTGATGAGTATGCTCAGGAGAGGAAGCATATCCCCCGGCCTATCATGGGGACTCCAGAAGCAGAATTATTACACACCCAAGAGTTACCATGCTTGATTCATTAATGTTGGTCATCAGTGATGATTCAGTTGATGAGTATGCTCAGGAGAGGAAGCATATCCCCCGGCCTATCATGGGACTCCAGAAGCAGAATTATTACATACCCAAGAGTTACCGTGCTTGATTCATTAATGTTGGTCATCAGTGATGATTCAAGACTGATTCTATATCAAATCTGAAATGACAGCCATCGATACTGATTCTTATCTGTTATTTTTGCAGGTATCGGAACTGTTGCCAGTACTGATGTAACCCGATCTTATCATAACTAATACAGTAATGGTTGACCATCAGCACTGATCCAAGCTGTCATCAGTGTTGAATCAGGCAAGTAAAGCTAGAAAAATGGCTCCATCTGACTGGCAGTGCACTGTTGATATCTTATTGCCATTGTTAAGACTAATCAAGTGAATATTGTTATCGTTAGCGGGTCATGCCTGACACTGGATGTCGGTCGTGACTGATTCATCAGTATCAGAACAGGACATTGCCCCAAATCCTCAGTCCAGTATAGTCTATCAGCTATGACTCGGGCCTGAATTAGGACTGGTCCATGTTTCAACTCTTGGGACGTGTAGGGAAGAGTGTTCTGTCTCATCAATTTGTTGCAGGTTTGGAGTCTGAATTGCATAAGAAGCTGACTGGGGACTTCGAGGAGTTGGTGTGTAAGGCTTGCTTTGAAGAAGCAAAGTGGAAGAAGACAAATTTTGGACAGAAGAGAAACCAAGGGGAAAAGAAGCCTCCAAGGAAGCCTAATGATGACTCTGAAGAGAAATAAAGGGGGCTACAAGTACCATTGATGTGGCAGTACACAACACTTTATTCGTGACTGTCCATTCAGAGGACAGGGTGCAACAAAAGAAGCCAGAGGTGCTGAGAGTGAGGATTCTGACGAATATGGAAAACATGTGGCTCAACTCCGTGTCAGTCTGGGAGAGAGCTTCAGAGGTCTTGAGACTAGACCTTGAGGATCACTTTGAAAGATTGACGTCATGATTACACCAAACTGGAAGCGCGGGCTCAAAGTGATCTGATCCGAGGCAGGCTGTAAAAGAGCTGCATCTCAGTTCTCAGTCATTTTTCTTGAGTTATTCGGCACCAAAAGGTATGGAACTCTCTGGGCCATGTTCTGTCTCTTTCTCCCCTCTCTCCCTCTCTTCTCTCTCTCACTACTCTTCTTCC